TACAGGCAGTTGTCCACTTGTGCTCGCCTGGGTCTCTCAGGACTGGCTGCAGAGGATGGGGCCCCACCCAACCTCTCAGGTCCAGATATGCCCTTGCTCCCCCTTTTGTAATTACCTATTGGTATGGAGATGGACTGCTTCTCTTTACCCCTTGGAAACACCTGTTGATAAGACCCACCTGTTGATAAGGTCCAGCCAGAGATTCTGGAAATATCGCAGTTTTACCCACAGAAGAGAAGGCAGCTTTGTGAGGAATGCCAGCATTTAGAAGCATGTAGAGAAGGGTGAGACAGCAAAGGCGACTGACTGGGAGGAGACAGGAAGAACTCCACAAGTAAATTATGTCCCTGAAGCTAAGGGAAAGGGTGTTTTAAGAGGGAGGGAGTCACTGTCATCACAGGTCGGTGCTGCCAGGAGTCCGAGGATGGTCAGTGGTCACGAAACCACTAGGAGGTCTCTAGGAAACCTGAGGAGAACTATTTTTAAGAAGTGGTGGTGGCAGGAGTGGACTACAGACTGGGTAGTGAGAGAGTCTGTGGAAACAGAGTGTAGACAAAAAGATTATCTGTGAAGTATTGGAGAAAGGACAGTCCCTGGAGGGGACTTTGGGGGAGGGAGGAAGGCAGGAGGGCAGGAATTTTGTTTTAAGTGGAAATACCTGGGAACGTTTAAATGCTATCAGGAAGGCTCCAGTGCAGAGGGAGAGGTTGAAGCTGCAGGAGGGAGCAGTCTATGGTAAGGTTACTAAGGAGGCCTAGAGGATGCAGTGTAAATTATGCTCAGATGAGAGGTTGGCCTTACCTGAGCCCCTCTAATCTTATAGGAGAGAAGAAGAGGATGAGGAAGATCGAAACTGCTTTCTAGATTTGGAAACAGGAAGTTGAGGGAGTTTCCATCGGATGGTCTTACATAAAAGTCCAAACTAGTCTAAAATTTTGTGATTGTATGAGATAGTAGTTGTGGTTAAAATTGCAATATTTCCAAAATCTCTTTCCTGGCGTTAGCGCATCTCCGTATCAATAGGTGTTTAAAGGGGTGGAGAGAAGTAGTCCATCTCCATGTCGATACGTAATTACATGGGCGAATGAGGGTTTACCTGGACCGGAGAGGTTGGGTAGGGTCTCTTCTGCTGCAGCCGGGTTGAGAGAGAAGCAGGACGACTGTTTGTAAGCAAAAAATGGGTTTCTCCCACTTTATTTCTCCCTTTGACTAATTTCGGTTTCAAAGGTATTTTGCTGTGAGATTTTCCCCCTGGAGTTACAGTAGTGATAATAGCAACAAACATCTGTGGAGTGGTTTGTATGTGTCGGGTCACGTAGTGTATGTTCTCTATAGATAAACAGCCTGGATTTGAATCCTGTGTGACCTTGAGCTGGCCTCAATTCTGTTGGAAAATGGGGACAGTGTCAGCAGATACCATATAGGATTAAATGAGTATGTGTGTGTGTGTATATGTGTGTGTAGCTGTATGTGCTTACTGTGGGCTTGGCACACGGTCAGTGCAGTACACAGTCTATGTTTAGTAGCAGTAGTGGTAAGTGGTGGTAGCCATCACGAGCCATCTGAATCTGATACGGCCCTCCTTATACCCTTTTGAGGATGTGATAGTAGTATTTAGCCCTATTTTACAGAGGAAGCAACAGAATCAGAGATGAAGTGACTTATTTGGGGCCGCCCAGCTAAGCAGATAAAGTGTTAGATTTCAAATTAGATATATCCACCTTCAAACTCACATTTTACAAGCGGATCCTCTACAGTATTTCTTCTGCAGCAGTTTCGGAGTTAACCTTAGGTTAAAATGAGAAGCAAATTAAGTCAGGTGGGGTAGCTTCTCCCACCCCAGGGGCTTGCTGTCTGCGAGCTGACCTGTTCCCTTTCACTCATACTCCTGTCCTGCAAATTCACTCTCCCTTTACTTCAGTCCATCCATATTTTGGATGGTTTTTCCCATCTACATCTTTGTCTTTTGTCCTTAATTTATATTGGCCATCTTTTTCTTTCTAAAACTTGTATGAAATATTGTGTGAGTTGAGCTTGAAATCAGAGAGCTGAAGGTGGAGGGCATCAGTGTCCTGTGCAGTTTAAAGGGGACATACCCTTTTCTCCCTCACTTGGAGTCTTATCTGACGAATGAAGTGATGGAGGTTTTTGCCAGTTGGCTCCCACACTTATTCTTGAAAACATCTCCCTGGGCATTGTGATCATTATAACAAAGCTTCTCCCTTAACCCACCTCTGCCCTATGAGTAGCTCATTCCCCTGTTCACCGCCTGTTCTGTGATTACATGACCTTCCCCTTTTGCCTCTTACTTACTGCTTGAGGTTCTTTTAACTTTTCATTTAAAAAGCTTAGACTTTCACTAATATTATTTAGCTCGGAGACTTCTCCTGATGTTATCAAGTGCTTTATATTCTTTGGCAGATGGCTTACTTCATGAAACATTTTTATGCTGCAAAATTAACTCCTGAGAACATCATCAGTCTATACGTGAAGAAAATGAAGTTCTGTAGAAGGAAGGTGTTATGTACGTGTTTTTTTTAAATTAATTGTAATCGTAACTATGCTATTGTGTTACTTTTTTGGGAGAATTGAGGTAATATCACTTCAAAATAAAACAGTTTGAGAGTCTGCCATGGACTTACTGTATTTTTTGTGATTAGCATAGCTGTTTTGTTGGCTCTCCCTGACCTGTTTTAACCTCCTCTTAGTCCCATGCTGTTCTGCAGTCCCAGGGGACAGGCATTCTTTTCAGAAGAGGTAACAGTTGATTTTGACTTTCCAGGAGTTGGCCTGATAAATCACCATTTTCTTTGTAAATTTTAACAGTGTTACTGAGATATAATTTACATTCTGCAAGATTCATCCACTTAAATTATAAAATTCACTTATTTTTAGTTAATTTTTAGAGATGTACAATCATTGTAACAGTCCAGTTTTAGAAGTTTTCCACTACTCTATAAAGTTCCATTGAACTTTCCTCCATTTAACTGTCTTGTACCTTTGTTGAAGAGCGTTTGAGTATAAATATAAGGGTTTATTTCAGAACTCTGAGTCCTGTGCCATTTATCTGATGACCTGTCCTTATGCTAATTCCACACTCCCTTGATTACTATAGCTCTATAGAAACTGTGTCAGTCTCTCCCCCCTCCTAACACTGTGTAACCTCTCATTTACTTCTTTTCTGTATAGATTTGCCTTTTCTGGATATTTCATAGAAATAGAACCATATGATACATAATCTTTTACATTGGGCTTCATTCACTTAGCGAAATGGTTTTGAGAGGCTCACCATGTCATAACATGTGTTACTAACCTGTTGTTTTGTATTTCCAAATAATATTTCATTGTATGGCTGTACCACATTTTGTTTATACACTCAGAAGTTGACAGATATTTGTTTTACTTCCATTTGGGGATATGATACCAGTAATGCTGCTATGAACATCATGGTCTTTGTGTGACATATATTTTCATTTTACTTGCATAGATTCCTAGGAATGGAGTAACTTGGTTGTGTGTTAAGTTTATGTTAAACTTTTTGAGAAACTGTAACTTCCTAAGTGGCCGTACCATTTCACATTCTCACCAGCGATGAATGAAGATTCCAGTGTCTCTGCATCCTTGTCAGCACTTGGTTTTGTCTTGATGATGGCCATTCCAGTGAAGGTGTAATGGTGTCTTATTATCGTTTTAATATGGAGTTTCTGAATGAGTAATAATGTTGAGCATCTTTCCACATGCTTATTACTTCCTTGAAAGGTTTATTAAAATACTTTACTCGTTTTAATATCAGGTTGTTTGCCTTTTTATTATTGAGTTGTAGTGGTTCTTTATATATTCTATATTCAAGTCCTTTATCAGGAAATGAATTAAAATATTTTTTACCAGTCTATAACTTGGCTTTTAATTGTTTCATATAAATCTTTTGAAGCACAAAAAATTTTTAACTATTAATGAAGTACAATTTATTAATGATCATGGTGACATATCTAAGACTTCTTTGACTACCTTAGGTCACAAAGATTTTCTGCTGTGTCTTTCTGGAAGTTTCATAGTTTTAGTTCTTACTTTATGTCTGTGATACATTTTGAGTTGATTTTTGTATATGCTGTGAGGTAGGAGTTTGAGTTAACTGGTTCAAATATTAATATCAAATTGTTCCAATACTGTTTGTTAAAAAGACTGTTCTTTCCCCCATTAAATTGTCTTGTACCTTTGTTGAGGGGAATTTGACTAAAAATGTAAGGATTAATTCAGAACTCCCAGTCCTGTGACATTTATCTGATGCTCTATCCTTACGCTAATACCACAGTGTCTTGATTATTGTAGCTCTCTAGCAAGTTTTTAAATCAAGACAGAATTCTCCAAATTTGTTCATCTTTTTCAATATTCATTGGCTCTTCTAGTTCTTTCCCTTTCTGTGTGTTTTAAAATTTGTCAGTATCTACAAAAAACCTGCTGAGATTTTGATTGGGATTGCTCTAAGTCTAAGATCAATTTATGGAGAATTGGTATCCTGACAATGTTGAATCTTCCACTCCTTTTATCTGTCCTTTTATGTAGTCTTATTTAATTTATTTTACCAGCACTTTATAGTTTTCAGTGTACAGATCCCCTAATACTTTGTTAGATATATACGTAAGCATTTAATTTTAAGTGTGCTATTGCAGTGATGCTTTAAAAAAATTCAGTTTATTCCTCATCCCTCATCACCATTGCAAGTTTTACTTAAAGTGTATCAGTTGAATTCTCCCATGTATTTGAATCTGGCCAAATACCAAAGAGTGTCTTACAAAAGAGAGTAGGTAGCCTCTAATATTTTTCATTTGTAGTTTCTAAGAGGTAAAGTGATAAACTATATTAGTTTGGGTCCATGACTGTCAGTGGTTGTTTAGTAAGATTGTCACATCAGTTTGTTTACATTATTGATAACATAAAACACACAAACTTTTTCTGAAGGGATTTGGTGATCACATAACCTCTCTTTCCTTCTTCGGTAGGTGTTGCAGCCTCCCTGGAAGTGTCAGAGAGCCCCGGGAGTGTCCAGGTGGCCCGGGGTCAGACAGCAGTCCTGCCCTGTACCTTCACTACCAGTGCTGCCCTCCTTAACCTCAATGTCATTTGGATGGTCATTCCTCTCTCCAACGCTAACCAACCTGAACAGGTACTCTGTTCCAATCTGTGCTACCTCTAAAATAGTACTCTCTTCAGAAGAGGTGGATAGGAGAGAATCCTGAGTACATAATTGATTTCTAAAATAAGGTGGCACTTCTAATGTGCCTATGCTGTTTTAAGTCCCCTCCTGTATTATTGGTCAGCTAGCAGAAGATGCTGTCCTCTTTTTAAAAGACTTTTTAAAAAAAATTGACAGATGTCAAGGGGATTCTTCTGAGAATTTTATGTAGGAACCTGTAATTATCAAAAGATACTGCTGATAGGAAAGATCAAGACAGAAACAGCAGAGTATTGTCCTTTGACAGGGAAGGACCAGCACCAACTCAGGAGGCGGAGACACTACTTTTGAAAGAGTGATACTATTAAGGAAGTAACATTAGGTAGTAGGACTTGATTTATTTGGCTAATTCCACAAATATTTAAAACAAACACAGACAGGCATACTAGCCAGCTTCAAAGAGTCACAAATAAATAGGGTTCATGAAAATAGAAGCTATGACCAAATAAATTGTGTCAATTATAGGTAAGAGACCCATAATTTGTATACCCACTGTGGAAAATAATGCTCAAAAAATTAATGAATTGTTTTCATGACTACACCTTCATTCTCAAAGATAATTTATTTCTATTATGAAGCTTTTCTCTTCCAGTAAGCTTATTACAGCCTAAAAATATGTCATAAGCTGAATTTTCTGATATGAAATTCAATATGTATGTATATATATTTGTATTATATATATTTAAATAGAAGCATCTTTTGTGTCTTCAAACCATGGGGTTTTTATAATTAGCCTGAGCCTTTGAGATCTTCATTTAAGAGTCAGTGATCAAATCAAAGAGGCAAAAAACGACTTGACTACAGTTAGCCAAATATTTACAGGCAAAACTGGAATAGAACCAAGTTCCTTACTGTCTGCTGGAGGGTATTTTGTAATTTCATTCTGAGTCCTCTCCCTTGAATAGTTAACTTTGATAGTAGAAATTGATGTAAGAATAGCAATCATAGACTTGTAACTCTTCTTCCCCTTTAAGGCATTCATTTATCTTCAGTCTACAACATAATCTGTCATCTTGTGACCTAGTAAGCATGCAAATGGCAGTGCTAATTTTTTTAACGTTTTATTTTAGAGTTTTTTGAACTGGTAAAAAGATTGATGGGCTGATTGTAGAATAGCACTAAAGACATTGTCTATGTTCTGAAGAGTTAGTTAAGGCAACAATGTTATTCCAGTTTAGTATGTAAGAATTTAGAATCCCAAGATATCTATGGGCAGGTGCTATAGTAAAAAGTTGGTGACAACTCTAAGATTAGAAATAAAATTTTCCAAATGTTTGGTGTAGTATATTGTCTACTTGATAGTTATTGTTATGTGTCTAGAAGGGGATGTTGTGGCTAATTTACTTATTTTGCTTTCTTTTGCAGGTCATTCTGTATCAGGCTGGACAGATGTTTGATGGTGCCCCCAGGTTCCATGGTAGGGTAGGGTTTACAGGCACCATGCCAGCCACCAATGTCTCTATCTTCATTAATAACACTCAGCTGTCAGATACAGGCACCTACCAGTGTTTGGTCAACAACCTTCCAGACAGAGGGGGCAGAAACATTGGGGTCACTGGCCTCACAGTTTTAGGTGAGTGACAGGGAGTGTTCCAGGTATCTTGGTTTTAGCTGTGAATCTACTCGCAAGCATATTTGCTTCTGCTGTCCTACACTCTCAGTCTGCTCATGTCTTTGTCCTGCCTGCTCTCCTCTCAGCCCCATCTGGACTCTGTTTCCTCCTGCTTTTCCCACATAGTCTCCCCATTTCTTTCTCCATTGCAGGTGGCTCTCTAAAGCTTACTTCTTAAATGACTTTTCCTGAAAGTGGAGAAAGGTGGTTAAAAATAGCGTCAAAAGTGGCCTTTCACTTATCTTAAGTGTCTCTGGGATAAGAACTTATTGTTGAGAGCAAATTAAATCAATTTGTTACGTTGAGTATGAAGCAGAGGTTTCAGCACATGTGAGACTAAATTAACTACTGTTTCATGTCTCCATAACACTGAGCAGGTTCCCCACGGTTCTCAGCTTCCACCTCAAGCCCTGGCATCATTTTAAGAATGCCTCCTTTCCTTTTAAAAATATCCTTGTTTGAATGATAAATTATATATGATCAAATTTGGTCTTAATAATAAGACTAAATAGATTTAAGGCCTCTTCCAAAGTAGTGTAGACAATGAACAACAATAAAGTTTAGATTAAAATTTAGGTCTCTTCACTCAAACCAGCTCTCTTTCCACTTTACTGTGCAGTTAGACTATTTCTTACTAAATTAAACCCATTCTAAACATGTTTTATTTCTCAGTACTGCTGCCTCTGAAATAAAGCATTGCCTCCTAAGTGGATCCTTGTGGTAGAAGTGGCTAAATTCAGCTCATTTCGGGAGACGGAGGTAGTACTTAGAGAAGGCTGATGCTCTTGATTATCCTGTCCTACTCAGGTCTCAGAGTATCTACTCCCATATCCTTGGCAAATTCTTCACCTTCCTTTTCCCTTACACTGTTGAGTCACTGGAAGATATCAGTGTTGGGGAGTCTTGCCATTTTTCTTGCTGGGGCAAAAATATCTGTAGCATTGGTGCCTTGTTCTTCCAATCCTTAAACAGAGTAAGAAAACTAAAGACCAGGTTGGAGATTTCTATCTTGAAATATTGTCCATTATAATATATTAAAAATTGTATATGTTTTAAGATACTCGAGTACTGAATAGTCTTAATGAAATTTGTTATTATTTAGATGCTTCTACTTGAAAGTTAACATACATTATCCAAGTCTGTTTGTTTTTACATTTTTTAAAGGAAGAAAAAAGCCTTTAATTTGTTATAGTTAATGCTTACCTTCAAAGAATTATTTTCCATTTCCTTCATTGTGTCATCGTGGCCATGTGGAAGGTAGGGCACTAAGGAGATTGGTTTGTCCCAACACAGCCATTAGCACCACTGAGATTTTTTTATTCTTCCTACCATTATCGTCCCATTGTTTGCTCTTCCCCTACCCACTTGCTTTCATGGTTCCTGTGTGAATACTGCATTCATTTTCCATTCATTCATTCACTCATTCAAGGTTCAGCACATTTACTGGAAAGTCACTGGCATTCCGAGTATATCACCACTTGGATTTGAGCTCACTGCTTACCTTCCCCAATATGAGACTCCAAGCCATGGGCTTAGTTTATGTTTTTATTTGCCTTTTTTTTTTTTTTTTACTATAAATCACCACCTTCGTCCTTTAGTTTTCTTTTTTTGGTAATTTTGGTTCATGTCCTTCGTGTCCTTTGTCTGTTTTAGTGATTATGAAATGTCCACTGCATTACTATGAAGTAGTAGATGGACATGAACCTCATCTAACTCCCTAAATCATAAATCAGAACTTAGTATAAAGTGGGTCTGTCCAGTTTTTCTTGTAACGTAACAACCTTGTAAAGATGGTCTTAGCCAGAGAGTGGCTGGCAGGGTAAGTGGTTGCTCCTCCTTGAAAAATCTTTTCTAAAAGTGACATCCTTTAATAATTAAAACAAATTAATTGTGGTAAAATGCATGTAAGCATGAAATTTACTGTCTTAACCAGTTTTAAATACACAGTTCAGTAGTGTTAAGTACATTCACATTTTTTTGTGCAGCCAGTCTCCAGTACTGCTTTAATCTTGCAAAACTAAAACTCTGTAGCCATTATTCATTTCTCCCTCCCATAGCAGCTGGTGACCACCACTTTACTTACTGTTTCTGTGAATTTGACTACTCTGGGTACCTCATATAAGTGGAATCATTCATTATGTGTCTTTTTATGACTGGCTTATATCACTTGGCATAATGTCTTCAAGGTTCTTCATCTATGTTGTGGCACATGTCAGAATTTCCTTGTTTTTCAAGGTTGAATAATATTCCATCGTATGTGTATGCCACATTTTGTTTATCCATTCATTCATCCATGGACATTTGGGTTGTTTCTACTTGTTTCCTATTGTGAATAATGGTGCTCTGGACATAGATGTATTCAGTAATGTTTTTAAAGGCAATATGTTGACATGAAGTATCTTAAGAATTATTTAGAGGAAACAGAGTAAAACCAAGATCATAAGATACCTTGAAAATAGAATCAAAGGGTATAGCCTCTTTTACATATTTGTTCCCTGCCAACTGAAGTCATCAGCCCTGTACCTAAGCCCTGGGATAGTACATGACTAGCCACTGGCTTCATCTCTGAGGTAGTCTTCTAGTATGTGTTCCAATAGCATTATTCTCTCAGGTTCCAGTGTACTCCTTGTTGATGTCTCCATCATCATCTGGCTCTTAGTAAATGTGTACTCAATTGCTTACTCTTCCCATTATAGTTCCCCCTTCTGCCCCACACTGCCAAATCCAAGGATCCCAGGATATCGGCAGCGACGTCGTCCTGCTCTGTAGCTCAGAGGAAGGCATTCCTCGACCAACTTACCTTTGGGAGAAGTTAGACAGTACCCTCAAACTACCTCCAACAGCTACTCAGGGTACGTACAGTGTTGCTTTACCCATTTAATTGGTTATCATGGGAAAGTCTGAATCTAAGACTCACAAAGAATTAATTTTCATAGATCTTGAAAAATAATGCACTGTATTTGTAACTGCTGACAAAGCTGTCTGGATCATTTTGTGTTTTCAGCTTTAAAGAGAATAAAACATTTTCTCTCTCTTATCATATATTTCCTTTATGTATTTCATCCAGTGGTAATTCTGTTCTGTTGTAGTGAAGATTTAAAACAATTAAATGGTAGCTTCTTCATATTGTTAACTGTAAGATAATCCTTGAAGTTTATAACTGACAATACACTTCCTACTTGAGGCATAACTGCTTATTTTAGTATGAGAACCACCAGCCTGGTCACGAGAGGGCTAATCATCCTGTTTCCAGGCTCGAACCTAATTAGAGGAAGAAGATGGGAAAGAGAACAGGGAAAGGCCTCAGATCATAGAGGAACCAGGAGCTGATCACAGGAGACATAAAGATGGAGGAGGCATGGGTATTGGTGGTTTTCTACATGTAAAACCAACTATGTGAATTTGATATGAAAGGAAACACCCTTGAAAAGTTGAGGAAAACTTACGAAATAAAATGAGGGAAAAGTATAAAACTATGTATAATGTTTATTTCAAGATAATCAAAATTTAGCAGCTTCAAGTGTTCCATCATCTCTAATAGAGAGCATGTTTCTTGTAGCATTATGAGGGCCAACATACAAATCCTGTTAAAGACTTGGCAGTTAATGAAGAGGCCCAAACAACCTTAGTTATGCCTGATAAGTTTGAATCAGATGGATGGTATATGCCTGTTGTGGAAAAGGAAAGTCCTGAGTTGTATGAAATTAGACATATTAAAGAACCAGGGACACTGGCCTTTGGAGAGCCCGTAAGTTTCCTTTAAGAATCCCAACAGGAATATTAATGGACCTTTCCATCTTCTTTAGTTAAGTTAGCCTTTAAAAAAGTCTTTTCAATGTAATAACTTTTGGATTACTCTGATAATTATTACTATAATTCTCTTGTTCCCTGCTGATTGCTAAATTGCTAAACATTTCAGCTACACTGTGGGCTGTGTAGCATATTTTGGGACTAGTTTATATCATCATTTAAATGGTATGCTTAAACTAGCTCTTGTCTTGAGATCCTGAAAACTATATTCAAACTCCGTATATTCCAATAACTACTTCTGTGACAATTTACCTCTCTGGGTCTATGTTGCCTTGTTGTAAAATAAGAGTGTTAAACAATATCATCTCCAAGGTGTTCTCTAGCAGCATTAAGATTGTATGATTTATATTTATAACATTCTTGAAATATTGGGCTGAGTTTGGATTACAAATCCTTAAAAGTGGTTGTTTGTATGTAAATTGAGAAATATCTGCAGAAAGAGCCTTCCATATCTCTCTTTCTGAATAAATGTATATGAGCCAAATTTCTTGGCTCTCTTCTTTGCAACTTAAAATATTCTTTGATACTTTAGGTATAAAAGTGAATTTGGATGCCAAAGGTGAAAAATTTGTCTTTTATAGCTCAAACTCTGGATCAGCAATCAGAATTACTTTGGATAACTTTATCTGTTGTAATAATGAACATATAAATTAGTCAGATTTTTAATTTAAGTTTATCTCTTGATATCTACTCTAATAAAGTAGATCTCAAATAAGCATGAAATTCTAAAATAACTTAGGTATTTAACAACACTTTACTAAGACATTTTGCATTTGCTTAATATAAACTGTGGATGCATTCTCTGAGAAAAGAACACTTGGTGCCTGGGAAGAGGGGTTGGGGCAGCATTCCAGAAATCTTACTAGTGACGGGGACATAACAGTTGGGGATTAGAATTGTCCTCGTGCATAGTGATTAGTTTTAAGGAGTTCCTTCTGGCCAAATCTGGGACAATTTGAATATTAAAATCAATACATAATCAATTGAATAAAATAAGAATGCTTGAATTCCTGCTGATATACATAAATAAATGAGGGGGAGGAGAATGCATTTTCTCACAGTAGAAGGCTAATATATATAGAAGGAATGATAGAGTTAGAAAATCATCATTGATATTGAAATAATAGTTGAAAGTTTAATGAGGAACGCAGTATTTACATAGTTCCAAAGGATGTCCCCACAAATTTCTTATTAATTACAAAGAAAAAACACTAAGTTTATAATGGAGAGACCTGGTGCATACCACTTTAACCAACCAATCAAAGTACACATCACCAATATTGCGACAAACTGATATTCTGTGCCTTCTGAATATATGCATTGAGAAGGACACAACATCATTTCTTTGGTGTTACTGCCAAAAACACATAATATGAATCCAATCATGAGGAAATACCAAAGAAAGATAAAGACAGAACTGTTCCAGATTGAAAGAGACTAAGGAGTTAACTAAATGCAATGCAGAATCCTGGATTAGAATCTGGACAGGGGAAGAAATAGCCAGAAAGGGCATTACTGGGGCAGAATATACACTTCATCGTCATATAGAAGATTAATAGAGTGGATTTAGTATTGTTCTCTTGGTATATAACACTTCTGAAATCTAAGAAGTGAGAATTATACTTAAGGTTGATATTATTTGAAGCAAAATTTTTAGGAGTTCTGTGCTTCTAAGGAACAACTAGCCTGGTTTCCATTAAGTGGAAACAATACACGAGACACAGTTCACCAGCCTCTACATTGGTGGTTTTCAGCTGGGGCAAACTGCATTTGGCAATGTCTGGACTATTTCTGGTTGTTTCAGCTGAGAGGAGGGTGCTACTGGCAGCTAGGGGTTAGAGGCTGGGGATGCTGCCATACATCCTGCAGTGGACAGGACAGTCCCCACAACACAATTATCTAGCTCAAAATGTCAGTATGTGAGTTATGTTAATAGACTTTTCTAATGTCAAAAAACATCCTTGTACTTCTAGAATAAAGTCTGTATGATTTTAATTATTTTTTAATAAATTGCTTCATTCCATATGCTAACATTTTAATAGAATTTTTGCATTTTTGTCATAAATCAGAATGGCCTATGGTATTTTTTTGTCTTCCATTGCCCTTGTTCAATTTTTGTATCAGATTATATAATGGCCTTATAAAATGAGTTGGGCAGCATTTCCTTTTTTTCTATTTTCTGAAACAGTATGAATAGGATGGAGATTATTTGCTGGTTTTGTAGAATTTGCTATAAAAGCTTTGCTTGCTGTTATATGTTTGTTTGGTAGATGTTTGACTGCTGATTCAGTTTCTGTAATGGTATATGTTTATTTAGATTATCTGTATCATCTTTATTTTTCTAGACACTGTCTCTTTTGTCTGAGTTCATACTTATTGGCATCAGGCTGTCTATAGTATTCTTTTGTCTGAGTTCATATTTACTGGCGCTAGGTTGTCCTGTGTTCCATCATCTCTAATAGAGAGCATGTTTCTTGTAGCATTATGAGGGCCAACATACAAATCCTGTTAAAGACTTGGCAGTTAATGAAGAGGCCCAAACAACCTGATAAGTTTGAATCAGATGGATGGTATATGCCTGTTGTGGAAAAGGAAAGTCCTGAGTTGTATGAAATTAGACATATTAAAGAACCAGGGACACTGGCCTTTGGAGAGCCCGTAAGTTTCCTTTAAGAATCCCAACAGGAATATTAATGGACCTTTCCATCTTCTTTAGTTAAGTTAGCCTTTAAAAAAGTCTTTTCAATGTAATAACTTTTGGATTACTCTGATAATTATTACTATAATTCTCTTGTTCCCTGCTGATTGCTAAATTGCTAAACATTTCAGCTACACTGTGGGCTGTGTAGCATATTTTGGGACTAGTTTATATCATCATTTAAATGGTATGCTTAAACTAGCTCTTGTCTTGAGATCCTGAAAACTATATTCAAACTCCGTATATTCCAATAACTACTTCTGTGACAATTTACCTCTCTGGGTCTATGTTGCCTTGTTGTAAAATAAGAGTGTTAAACAATATCATCTCCAAGGTGTTCTCTAGCAGCATTAAGATTGTATGATTTATATTTATAACATTCTTGAAATATTGGGCTGAGTTTGGATTACAAATCCTTAAAAGTGGTTGTTTGTATGTAAATTGAGAAATATCTGCAGAAAGAGCCTTCCATATCTCTCTTTCTGAATAAATGTATATGAGCCAAATTTCTTGGCTCTCTTCTTTGCAACTTAAAATATTCTTTGATACTTTAGGTATAAAAGTGAATTTGGATGCCAAAGGTGAAAAATTTGTCTTTTATAGCTCAAACTCTGGATCAGCAATCAGAATTACTTTGGATAACTTTATCTGTTGTAATAATGAACATATAAATTAGTCAGATTTTTAATTTAAGTTTATCTCTTGATATCTACTCTAATAAAGTAGATCTCAAATAAGCATGAAATTCTAAAATAACTTAGGTATTTAACAACACTTTACTAAGACATTTTGCATTTGCTTAATATAAACTGTGGATGCATTCTCTGAGAAAAGAACACTTGGTGCCTGGGAAGAGGGGTTGGGGCAGCATTCCAGAAATCTTACTAGTGACGGGGACATAACAGTTGGGGATTAGAATTGTCCTCGTGCATAGTGATTAGCTTTAAGGAGTTCCTTCTGACCAAATCTGGGACAATTTGAATATTAAAATCAATACATAATCAATTGAATAAAATAAGAATGCTTGAATTCCTGCTGATATACATAAATAAATGAGGGGGAGGAGAATGCATTTTCTCACAGTAGAAGGCTAATATATATAGAAGGAATGATAGAGTTAGAAAATCATCATTGATATTGAAATAATAGTTGAAAGTTTAATGAGGAACGCAGTATTTACATAGTTCCAAAGGATGTCCCCACAAATTTCTTATTAGTTACAAAGAAAAAACACTAAGTTTATAATGGAGAGACCTGGTGCATACCACTTTAACCAACCAATCAAAGTACACATCACCAATATTGCGACAAACTGATATTCTGTGCCTTCTGAATATATGCATT